GGAATAAAATGAACTGGACATGAGATGATGCTCTGAGTTTACTTCTGAGCAAGGCCTCCCCAGTGGAACTCTACATCAGGTTACTACTAAACTGGAAAGTGACCTGTACCGATACACGAGGATGTACACAGGAACAAACACTGGAAGTCAAAGGTGGTTTTACGGTACCTGTCTGTATTGTACATTTTGCACACTCCCACTTTGTTTTCACAGGCATGAAATCTATTCATAATCGCAGGTAACAAACGGAACACCTGAAAAGCAGGATCCGAAATCACCCTGCGACAACAGGCCTGCCATGACAACTATTTCAGACGCCCCTATTGCAGAGCAGCCACACTCCTCCCACAGTGTGTGACACTACTGTCATCAGTCCTTGTTTTTCAGGCCTGGCCTCAACCCAGCCCCAGAGCGTACCTGTAATAAACAGCATGGGGAGCAGCCTCACTACCCTGCAGCCCGTCCAGTTCTCCCAGCAACTGCACCCATCCTACCAGCAGCCCCTCATGCAGCAGGTCCAGAGCCATATCAACCAGAGCCCCTTCATGGCTACCATGGCCCAGATACAGAACCCTCACGGTAAGAACGTGAAATCATTTGCTCAAGCAAACCAAAAAATAAAGGCTCTCTTCTGGAGCATTTACTGGGTCCTTGGGCTTGCAACACTCTGTTTTCCTCTTCTATTATTGTTGCTTTAATTATGAAATTATTTTTCTCTTGCATTTATCTCCCTGCCCTTCCACTCCCACTGTTTCAGAGACAGACAGCAGGTCCACGTGCATGAGAACAACTCAGCCAAACTAGTCTCATGCAAGGCTCCAGCATACACATGATCTTGTTTTCTTTCATGCACAGCTCTCTACGGCCCCAAGTCTGAAGTGGCCCAATACACACATACAGGCCTCTTACCACAAACCATGGTGATAACAGATACAGCCAATCTCAGCGCCCTGACTAACCTGACACCAACTAAACAGGTAACAGCCTTTAGCACATGCCTTTGTTCCCCCACCTTAGAACTGCACCAGTCTGCAGGTAGCTCCTTGCTTGTCAAAGAGTTTTTGGGTGTGTGATCTATGCCATCCCAGCAGGATGATCCTTCTTATCTCCTCACCTTGCTGGTACCAGCTGCAATACTGGAGGCATTAGAGTAAGCTCTTCACTGCATCATCAAGGAGGATTTAATCTCCTTGGAAACAGCACCTGCTCACTCTTCTCTCGTGCCTGTTAGAAGGGATGTAGAAACCAGGCACTGTTAACTTTCTTTTCTCTAGGCATTCACATCTGACTCGGAGACTCACACAGAGTCTGGGATGCATACACCAGTGTCACAGGCGCAAACAATACATTTACAGAACCAGGACACAACCATCCAGCACCTTCAGCCAGGCCCTCGCCTCACCTCAAGCCCTGCTGGTAAGAGCAGCAGCCATAATTATCTTAAACCATGTATTGCCGTTTCTCTTGCCAACACTGTAAAACCCAGTCAGAAAATGGTAACTGGGGCTCACTGTTCTCTAAGAGGGCTCTACCAGTGTCTTGGGGGGTTTGAAAAGCTGGTACAAGGAAAAGATTCAGAGCACAGTCTGTGCAGGCTGTGTAATGCCAGACTCTGGAAATGGAACCCTTCTTCAGAATCTAGAGAGGAAAATAACCTTAAAAATATTGACAAAATTGTGTCCATGCATATCCAACCCTGCAGGCAGTTTTCAGGACTGAAAAGCCCAAGACTCCCTCACAAAGAGACTCCAGTCGGATCTTCCCAGTTCTAAGAGAAGAACTAGGACATTAACAATTAACAATCAACTAGAATGCTCAAATCTGAACTCCCTGATGCCCTCAATGCTTTCAGGCTAGCTTTGTACTTGAGCTAGGTATATAATGGCACACAAAATAGAAAAAGAAGTTATGCCCCTATGCCAGGAGGTTTTAGTCATGCTGGAAATGCGAGTGTGTGCACACATGATAAGGGGACGGCAGTGAGAATTTGTACTTAACTTCTGCCTGTGCCTTTGACAGTGTCCTCCAGCAGCTTGGTGCTGTACCAAAGCTCTGACTCCGCCAACAGCCACAGTCAGCTGCTGCCATCCACTCACAATGTCATCGAGACCTTCATCTCCACGCAGATGGCATCCTCCACTCAGTAATCAAGACAGCTAGCTCAAGGGTGACTGCCGTGACCAACCTGTCAGGTGCAACTCCAACTGTGTTTGCCATCACTGTCACCACTGCCTTCCATGGGAAGGAAAGGCTGCTGCGCTCAGCCAACCTCCAGCCCCTACTGCCTCATACAAATCCCTTATTCAGCTGCCTCCATAAGAGAAGATGTCTCGGCCTCAAGACAGAAGCCATGGAAAGACGATGCTGGCACTGCTAAAATCCACTGCCCCCCAAAAAGAACAAGCAAACCCAAACCCCACGAGCCAGCCTAGGATGACCAGACATCCTTTTGTGGCTGCCCAAGAAAGAATCCCATCAAGATAGGGATCTGAACGCAACATGGCAAAAATGCCATGGCATGGATGGGACTTTCATTCTGCTCAGCCTTCATCAAGCTGGGCCTGTAACAAACCTGCCAACACCAGACTAAGTCATGCAGGAAAGAGCAAAGCTGAGCTGCCAAAGAAGGGCACCATCTTTAAAACACTCACCTCCTTTGCTGTAAAGAAGCACCAATGGGAACTATGAGAAATAATAGTATCTTGGAGGCAAGGGTGAGAGAAGCTGGTTCCTGACTGCAATGAAAATCACCAAGAAACAGATTCAGGAATGGCTTGGCACAAACCTGTCAGTATGGGATCAATGACTACAAGCTACAAATCCTTTAATTAACTACAAAAATACCAAACATTCTCAGTTAAAAATGACCTGCTCTAAAATCATGCTATCCTAGTGGAAATGGCTTGGTTATTTTTGATATAGCTCTGCTTTGTTTTAAATGCAGAAATTAAAGTTTAACAGCAGCAAGGAGATTCCAGTTCTCTGCATTAACCATGTGGATTCTCATCTTGTACATCTTGCTGAATGAGCCAGGGGATGGCATTCTCCACAGGTCCCTGACACTGCATAACACCTGGGAGGTTCCCATGCTCCACAAAGAGCAGCGGTTCCTTCAGTTGTTCTCTGTAAAGATGTCAGCTTGAATTAATTTTACAGAACACAATTCATTCTTAGCTTCCCTACAGGCTAGATTCTGTAGTTCTTGATATGCAAATAATTACCCTGGGGTCTAAGAGTCGTTCTTGAACTAAGTGAAGGGTTTTAGCCCTAAGGATCTACTTATATAATTCCTCTTCTAATTATTCCTCTCTTCTCTATTTACTCTCAACCTTCACATCATTGATATGTCACTAGCCAGACATGAGAAAAGCCCTAATTAACGTGTTTTTGTCATTGTGACCAAAACAGAGCTATTCTTTCAACTGTGAAATGGATGAAAATCCTTGAGACTAGAAAGTGCGAGACTTAAAAGGTTGAGATATAAGGGAGAATTAAGAAAGAAAAAGCCCAACAGCGAACTCTTCAGTTATCATATCTGGAAATTTCAAAATTGCTGTGTCCATTACAGTTTGTATTGATATGCTCTTCCTCCAGACACTATCAACTATCAGAGACTAATTTCAGTAACTAGAGTCTCTGAGGAATTTTATCCTAGAAATGTTTCCTGATCCCCCATGTGCATCATTTGCAAATACATATAACTTCCAGTTAACAAAAATAATCACCATAAACAAGACAAAAGATAATTTTTAGACCACTATGCATTTGAAACCCCAGGTGCTAGCTTCAGTATACTGAAGTTTTAACTGGCCAGAAGACAAGTAACTTCTTCTGGCACATTCAGTTAGATTACAAGCCAATTTTCTACTTAGCCTTTCCCTTTTTGGATACCAACTGTGTTTTCTTGATTAAAAAAGAGCAAGGATCTTACAGTAAGAAAGAAAACATCTTGGGTTTTCCCATGCTCAAAGAGCAACAGTTCACTATTTCAGTTTCTCTAATCTGGTCTTCTCGTCTCCTGAATAGGGCAAATGATTTAGAGCTACTGAAACCCAACAATCTTAAAAAACAGAAGAAGAGTATTTATCCAATAACAGGTCATTTCCTGAAATACTGGAGCTGAAGTATAAATGGACTAAGAGCCATACTGAAAACTACCAAAACCCACTGTATTTCAGAGAGACAAAAGTCATAATCAACCAAAATAAGGACTGAAATGCAGTGACTTTCAAGTTAGGCTTAAGTCCTTCCTGTAGCTATCTCATAGCATTGATCACCAAACAACTAAAGAGCCGTCTTCAGCCATCTTTATCTCTGCTGGGGGAGCCATCTGAATACAGCAAGGAAGCCACTGTTATACAAAACCTGCCAAATTAAATAGGACTAATAGCGTAGTAGAATTTAGTAACAACAAATGCCATTAAAAACTATACATGAAAAAAAATTAAAAGGACACAATTTGAACAGAACTACCTATTTATAACAACCCTGAAATAAGCTCACTGCACACTCTGTTTATATGCAGGGGCCTGGAGAGGTGCAGATTACAGAGGGATTAATAACATGGCAGGTTTCAACAACAGATTGTTATGATGATCACAGGAAAAAAAATAAGGGGGCCCTGATTTCTGACAGGATGCTTTTGATAAATGAGTCTCCCACAGGCTGGAGTTATTCTTAGTAGGCATCTAGGAGGAGGCAAAGAGAAAAAGGAGTTGATCACCTGTTGCCATGTAAACTAAATTCAATTCATCATATACTTTCTCCAGGACACAACATTTGGTTTCATGATGTGAAGGAACAGACCAGGAGGGATGCAGCTATGATTATATCCTTCTGTCATGCACGTCTGTGCACACTATTTAATCCTTTTATGCTAGGTCTGCATAAGCAGCAGCATAGGTAACTGCTGTGCTAGGAGAACAACATTCCCTTCCCCGGGGGATGCCAACAACATAGGAAGTCACTTAATCAGACTCTCAGGCCACTGAGCTTTTAGAACAGAAGCTTTGCCAATTAGTTTTCCCTCATCTGCAGCAACTCTTTTTGTTAGGGTTTTTTTTCAGCATCCTTCATCCATCATAATCACCTGCCATTTGCAGAGCAAAATCTTCATTCTCTTTTTTTCTTCTTCTTCTTCTTCTTCACAACTCCTGGCAACACTGAGTTCTCTGTATGATTGCTGTCCTGTCTCTCACGCTGTCCATTTGCGGACACCAACTGTGGCAAATCTTTGCTGATCTGGCCACACTCTGCTGGGTCTATTATTTTCTCTTGAATATCATTCTCTCCCCTAATTTTCTTTTTCTTCTTTTTTTTCTGGCTGTGCTCTACATAACCCTGACTCTGATTTCGGCTGGAATCCTGGGACAGTGCAGGAAAAGTACTTTGCTTCAGAATGTCTGCAGCTGACACAGCAGCCTCCTGGTACTTTTGCCACTCCTGGTCACTGTCCATGTCACTGGAAAGGTAACAAAAAGGAAAGGAAGTTATGTTACACTTTTGCCTTGAATTCACCCAAAGCACAAACAGCAGAGTAATCTAAGATGAGAACACCTGGTAAACACCCAGTGGCTCTGGGACTCCAATATAAGTTAGCATATAACCAATTTGAAGGCTGAGGTGTTCTTTACATATACTAGGAGGGGAAAGAACATCTCCCACAAACATTTCTAGTTCCCCAGCACTAAAAAAAGAAACAAACAAAAAAAATCTGCTCTAGTCAAATACAGGAGTCATAAATACACACTTCTCAAGCTCTTCAGCTTCCTATTCCCTTGCGAGAGTCCCAGCTGCCTCTGAAATGTGGGATACAATAGTACTTCAGGAGCAAAGCAGCTGACAACACCCCACCTGGAGCTAGATGGCTGTCTCCTCCTTGCTGCAGGGCAAGGCTCCGATTTCCCACAGTCTCCTGGGACAGAGGAAGAGAAGAGGCGAAAACCTAAAATATGTAAAAGGGAATTTTAGCCACGACATAAAACAGAGGTGAAAGCAATCAACAGCAATCTCCCTGGGAAGCCTCACTGCTGTTATTGTATTGCTATAGTGCTTGACAGCAATTATTTGGGACCATCTGAGAGGAGTTAGGGCACAGAGATCACAGCTTCAAAGTAACAGCCTTCACGGATGCTAAGAGAAATTCTTCTATTGCAAATACTTATTAGTCAGTTGGGTGTACAACTGGCCATGGACAGGATCCATCCCACTTGTCATCATTTAACTAACAATGTCATAAACCAGCCATAATGGCTGTGACTAGAACTCACCATCATCTGCAGAGTCAGACTGTTGCACAGAATTTTGTGAAGGTCCTGATGAGTCCTTCAAGACAGTGATGAAACTAAACAGAAAACCCCAGTCAGATCTTAAGACAGGTTTGTGCAAACTGAGCTAAAGTCGGGTATTTCCAGGAAACAAGACTACAGGGAGATGTCACATAGCTTCTTTTTTCTTAGTGAAGCTGCCTCACCTCCCTGCTTTCAGAGCAGACCATGCCTTCTCTCCTTAGCAATGCATGCCACAAGAATGACTTAAAAGCAGCGTTTCTAAAGTCAACTCTAAACACCAGGAATTCAAGGGGGCCATATTTACACAATAAATAAGACAGCAGCAGCCCCGTCACAGGCATACTGCCAGCACAACCCTGAATCAGGTACTGGTTTAGGTTGTAAGAATAAATAAAAGATTCTTATGCTGGCCTTTAAATGATGAAAGTGCTAAGGCACCCAGATTCTACTTTTTCCTCCCCACAACCCATTCACCACAGAGGCAAATACCCAGGGAGTCTTTACCAGAAGGGCACAGCACATGGGCCAGGTAAGTTCACAGAATATTGGAAGTCTGCATTAAATACAGGAGCGAAAGAGACAAGAAGAGAAACAACTTCTCCTCCATATCCAGGCTGCACTCAGATCTTGAATTTCCTGGTTTTAGCACACAAAAGCATCCGTGTACTTGACCCATAGAACAAACTTTTTTAGTATTGCTTGCCAATACCCATCTAGCATTGCTCCCAGTTTCTTCGCAACATGTGCTCTGAACTCTGGTGTCGTCTGTAGCTCATTTCCATCCTCATCATGACCTTTCGCCTCACGCCTGTTTAAAATAAGAATAATGATTATCTCTTTCAAGGCCAGTAACATCTGGTGCTCTTACCCAAACAGGAGATAAGGGACTGCAAAATCTCCTACCCTCTAGTAATCAATTCATACTTGATAGGGAAGACTGCTAAGAAAGATGGAAAATAGCTCAGTAGTAACAGTTCGGTTCCCAAGAGAGAGCTAAACATTATTTAGCCATCTCCAGCATAGTTAGTAATTGGATGATTTTTCTGATTGAAATAGCCTACAAAAGCAAAGAAATTATGTCAGGACATCCCTTCTCTTGCATGTAGTTCCTGTGTATGTTGCCACAGTTCATGCAAAACCTGTCCCAGAAGAGAGGATTTTATTAAGTTGCCTGTCTGACAGCCTTTGAAACTGAGCCTACAGAAATGCTTAGCTCAGCCTTCAAGAAAACTTAAGATAGGACAGCATCACCTCCATTGCAAGGCTCCTAAGTCAGGTGTTGCTTTCCAGCTGATGAGTGCTTGCTTTTGCAATTGCAACGTTTTTTGAAGAAAAACAAATTTTTTATATGTAACTGTACTAATTCCTTCATGGGACACTTGCAGAGTTGGGAGATTTCTGACACTTGGAACTAATGCTGTATCCAACAGCAGTAGTTAAGTTTTCAACTTCTATATTCCCCCACTGCTAGAGGGATGAGAAATAGACTTAAGAAACCTGTTAGCTTTTTCAGATTTAAGCATCATTTCAGATTATGGGTGGACTAACTCCGAAAGCAGAATAGGCCCTTCCAGTAGGAAGTATCACAAGGCATTAACTGTAAGTAGCCCAAATACAACGTACATTAATTTTCTTTCTTCAGTGAAACATAAGTCTGAAACCAGAAGCAAAAATACCTTAGGCTAGGCTGAGCAGGCTGTAACCGATCCTTTTTAAAGCCACCTGACAAAGGAAGAAGTAAAGGCACGTTTAAGAGACCTGTGACCAGGACCTCTTTAACCCCCCTTCTGGCACATGTGACTTTATAGCATAAAGAATTATGCTTGAAAGACAATCCACGTCCGCCTTCGGGGGAAAACAGTTACGAGGGGAAAGGGAAACTTCCCCTCCGCCAGGCCGTAGCAGACAGCCTGCCCGGGAAGGGGCTCCGGCCCCGGCAGGAGGCC